GATTAACATTTGTGGTGATTTCACACAGCTTGAAAAAAAAAAAAAAAAAAAAAAAAAAAAAAAAAAAAAAAAAAAAAAAAAAAAAAAAAAAAAAAAAAAAAAGAAACAGCAATTAGGATGCTATCAAGACCCTGGAAAAACAGTGCTGCATATTAAGAAAGGGGAAATGAGTATGTGCATAGAGCAACAAAAGGAAATAAGTGTGCCTGCTGCAAGCAAAGGCATGTCCAGCCCACTGACTGAATCAAATCACCTAAAAATAAAATTTATAAAAATAAAAAAAAAAAAAATAGGAAGAAAATAAAAAGTAGAGGAATCTCTAGAACAATCATGGTCTTTACTATCAGAAAGATGGAAAAGGGTGATTTGGCAGAGAAGTCTGCCGTGGTTAAAAGTGTAGATGAATGAGCAAATTCTGGAGGAACAAAGATACTAAAAAGTACAGATAGAACAGGAAAGTCTTTTCCAGATCAGCATGGAAACCATTCATTACACATCTGTAGCAGCACTTTTACCTCTAGAAATTAATACTGTATCATAATTGGTTCAATAACTTTTGTCAGTAGAAAGAAGAAAGTAAAGATGTAGAATATCTGGAAATCCAAAACATCTTCTTTTGGTGTGTGATCACTTTACCTACAGAATCTTTTATAAAACAAAATTCTCTCTAGAGGAAAAATGACTAAAATTTCTGACTTGCACTGAGGAATGCAGAGTCTGCCTTGTAAAATTTCCAAATCCTTATGAGCTCCCACCATGAGCCCACATTTTTGTTGTCCACTTTCCAACATCTTGCTTCTCCAAAACCYAGTGAATGCTGATCTCTGTTTTAATAATTGATGTTCTTAATATTAATTCATACCATGAACACCATAGTCATAGAAATACTGTTATCGCTAGGAAGGGCCTGAACCCCATGACAAACTCTTTTCAGTCCTAGAACACTTTTAAATTTAAGCTCTTTGATTTGTTTGTGGCTTGTCCCACCATCACTCTAATTCTTTCAGTCAAAGTTTCTTTTTATTTTTTCCAAACTCTCTAAATGCTTTAGAGAGCAAACCTTAAGTTCCCACTTCCATTTCATTTCATGCCCTACATTTGTTATTCTCATCAATTTACTTCATTTGAAACATTTAAGAATGCAGTTTTCCTAAGGAATGCCATATGAATATGCCAATCTCACAGAAGACTAATCATGTCTATTAAAAAAAAAATCATAATTTAACAATACAAGAAGCTTTAAACCAAAATTTTAATATGAATATGATAATTTCTCAAATAGTTATTAAAAAAATTTTGTCCTGAATATAATTTTTGACAATTTTTCCACATTAAAAAACCCCAAAACATTACTTACAGTGAATTAAAAAGGGTCCTGTTGTACTCACCAGGTCTGCACGGGTCCTTGCTCAGTTGTTTATGCTGCTGAACACAAAGCAGGGTATCCTCTAGTAAAGGTTAAGATCATCTAAGGGCTGTGACTCACACATTTTTTTAGAGATTATGATGTCGAAACTAGTTTTACTGGACACTTAACTTTACTGAATATGTTTCACACGTGACTCCTTATTATTCATGACTACCTGATCGCTCTGGTTAGATTCAAACCCATTTTCCTCAAACTGAACCTACTGTTTCTTAATAGAAACATTCATACACATTTCAGSTGCCTTAATCTGCTATTTTATGAACAATAGTCACCAGAAGTAGTAACTACAGAGAAATATTTTGAACATAATTTCCAGTCTCTATAGCTTTGCTGCCACTGAGGCAGAAGGACAAGGCTTGATGCACCAGGACAATCTGAATTTTTGTGATTTAGCCTGCTTTGATTCCTGCACATCCATGGTTGAGATTGGTTGTCCCCAGGTGAAGCCAGTGATGATTCTAAATAGTTGCCGTGCTTAAAACACTGTTTTGCCACACTAGCAAATGCTGTCATATGTGTACCTGGCCATCCACTCCCAGATGGGGAATCCACTGGCAGCAAGAGCKGTGATATTGACTCCTGGGCCACTTGCATGGCCCTGTGCCCGGCAAGAGGAATGCAGCAGGGATGCCTTTGAACGCAGGTGATCCCAGTTACAAGCATGGCCTGGGGACAGGGGGTGGAAACCTAGGAACACGGTGTTAAATAGAGCAAGTCTTTAGATCAGCTTACTATCTTATGATCTGGGCTGTGGGGAGCAGTCCCCTCTGATCATGTGCCAAGTTCAGACARCCTGGTATCCCGTGATCAGCTTTACTCCCAGGTGTGGAGTGCCAAAAGCATCGAAGAAAGGAACTCTGGGGACCACACTGTTCAACCCCTTGCTCAAACCAGGTCATATACACTGGGTGTCTCAGGATAGTGTCCAGATGGGTTTTGACTCCCTTCAACAATAGAGACTCCACAAGCTCTCTGGGCAATCTCTCTATTTCAGTGCTTGACAGCACTGACACTAAAACAGGTTTTCTCTACATTTAAATGGAACTTCTTTTATTTTAAATTTGTGCTCACTTCCTCTTGCCTTGGCTAGATGCCACTGAGCAGAAGCTATCTCTTTTTTTACTTGTCTCATCAAAAATTGGGTGTTTATACACATAGTTGAGACTTCCACCAGTCTTTTTTTCTCTGGGCTAAACATTTCTAACTCTCTCAGCCTCTCATATATCAGATGCTGCAATTCTTTAGTGACCATTGTGGCACTTTAATGGAGTCATTCCAGAATTTCCATGTCCTCCTTAGTCCAGCAATGGTTGCAGCTCTCCAGATGTGCATAGAAGGGGTGAGCAGAGAGAAAGGATCACTTGCCATGACCTGCTGGCAATGTGGTTTGTGTACGTGAAATTATAGAAGCACAGATTAATGGAATGGTTTGAGTTGGAAGGGACCTCAAAGATTATCCAGTTCCAGTCCCCTCTGCCATGGGCAAGGACACTTGTCACTAGACCAGGCTGGCAAAGCCCCATCCAACTTCACTTTGGACACTTTCAGGGGTGGGACATCCACAGCTTCTGTGGGCAGCCTGTTTCCATGTCTGACCTCTGTCATGGTAAAGATTTTYTTCCTTATATCTAATCTAAACCTAATCTTTTTCTGTTTAAAGTCTTGTCCTACCACTACAAATCTTTGTAAAAAGACTCTCTACAGCTCTATTGTAGGATCCTTTTAGGTATTAGAAGACCACAATAAAGTYATCATGGAGCCATCTCCAGGCTGAACATTCTCAGCTCTTCCAGCCTGTAGGACAGACGTCCCTGTCCCTTGATCATCTTTGTGGGCAGATTCTCTTCTGGACAGATCCATGCCCTTCTTATGTTGGGGCCCCAGAGATGGATGCAATGCTCCAAATTGGATCTCACCAGAGCAGAGCAGAGCAGAGCAGAGGGGCACAATCCCCTCCCTCCCCTGCTGCCCACGCTGCTTTGGAAGCAGCCCAGGGCTCATTTGGCTTTCTGGCTCAGGTTCACATTGCCAGGTCATGTCCAGCCTCTCATCCACCAGCACCCCCAAGCCCTTCCCAGCAGGGCTGCTCTGATCTGTTCAWCCCCAGCCTGTGCTGATACCTGGGGTTGCCCCAGTGCAGCTGCAGCACCTTGAATTTGGCCTTGTCAAACCTCATGATATTCCCATGGGCCCATTGCTCGAGCTTGTCCAGATCCTTTTGGATGGCATCCCTCCTTCAGGCATYGCAGCTGCCCTGTTCAGCCTGGTGGTGTTGTCTCCATTTCCTGCAAGAGCTTCCTGCTGGTTTCTGGTCAATTTGGCATCCAGCCGGAGCCTCTGATCCCCATGGCACAGCCTCTCACTTCCTAAAACTAGGACAATATTTTCTCTCACTATCCCTTAAAAATGAACCATTCCAGGAGGGGACCAGCCCTTACTACACACAAAGAGAGTGCTGATCTCAGTGCTGTTTCTAAAGAAAATTGAAATGCTAACCACGACAATAACTCAGCAACATTTTCTGTGAGGCAAAGATATAACCAGTGAAAGTCGATGATTACGACCTATCAAGCGATTCAGCAAATTGCAAAAAAAACCCTCGACCAAGTTGCTTATGAGGTAGAACTTGAGAAATAGGCGGCTTTGTGGCAGGATACTGGACTCACACACAGTGTGCTCTTCACATACACCACTCACCCAAAGGAGCACTTGAGACACCATTTTCACTGCTTCTTTTATAAATAAGAGCCAAGAATCTCACTTAGAGCTGGCTTTTAATAATGGGCTGCAGTTTTCACGGTATATAAAAAACGATTTCTGATGAAGGAAGAAGCCCAATTAAATACAGACGCCATGCTAATGACAAGGTGACGGATGAATGACTAAGATAGATTTGAACACACCTAGGCCACACCTCAGGACACTTTCAGGAGAAAGCCTGCTCCTGAACATGGAAAAGCCTGGCCTATGATTGGAAAGAAAGCAGAAAAAAATGAATTCAGTTTCAATTTCTATGAATAACATGAATTTCTGGACACTAATATTAAAGCATGTCTGAATTTTCCTTTCAGTGCCAAGCCATGACAAGAAGGAAGGTAAAGGAAAGGATTATGGTTTAGACCCAGCTGTATAATATCTGTATTTGATGACAAATCTTCATCAACCATAAACTAGGATTTATATCATAATTATAAGCAGAATATGGATTTACAAATAGTTTAGCCCTTTTGTTGAGTTTTGAAAATTGGGTTATTTCAGAGTAATGTCGCATGTGTTGCAGATATGATATAGATAGATAACAGGGAATTTCCTCACCTACACTGGGGATTTTCTAAAGCTTCCCACAGCTCTTACATTGCTCACAGTGACCTGTTCATAGGAACTTGAGCCCCAGTGGGCAAAATTTAATGTAAGTATATCTGCTTTGAGCAAAGAAGTTGAAAGAGGTTTGTTTATGCGMGTTTTCTCTCTCTGCTATATGTAGTAACCACTGATGGCACGAGCAGGAAGTTCTGCTGCATAAACAGGGCCTCAGAGACTCTCCTTAACCTGTGCTAAACCACAGATACCAGGTGTGTATATACCTTCAAAGAGATGGAGGAATTTCTTAATTTGTTGTCTCATTGAAACTAAAGCACTTCCTCATAACCATAATTAAAAAGGGAGGCAACGGGAACAGAAAAACAAATTTGTATGAAGTTGTTCTTTTCTGAACCTAGCAATACTTTCTCCTGAAAACATAACAGGGGAGAGTGTGCAGCCTATGTAAATTGTAAGGTGTGATCAATCTGATTTAGGGCATCTGTTTCCTCACAATAATGAAAATATGATCTCTTATAAACAATTCAGGTCTTGAGGAATGTCTGAAAAATTATTGCTTACTACGTAGAGCACTGTTAAGAGATGACCTACAGAGATAGTAAGCACTGTCAGGCATCTCCGTTTAGTTATGGGACTTTTCGCAACTCTTTTGATCCCAGGATCTCCTACCAGTAAATCCATCACACTACGCAACAAACAGGCTGAAGAAGTCACCAAACTATCAAAGTTTGGGATAGCTTGGAGCTGGCTGGCATGCCCACAATTTCTCTTCCCACAACTATCTGAAGCATTCCTCCACCTGACAGCCTCACCCTGACAACATTTGTTTGGGCAAGATTCTCACAGACTCTCAGTGTTTCAGTTTAATAAGGTTACTTACTTTAAGCTTCCTTAAAAAGAAATTATAGGCAAACATGAATCCAAATAATTGACAAATTCCACCCCCAACCCCTCAAAGGCTCACTCAAAGGTATTCTTTTCCTTCAGTATCCTTTTTTTCCCCCCAAGATCTTTCTCAATCTCTCARTTCACTCAATGAAAGAGAGAATATACTGTCCCAGAATCCTGGTCAATGGTTCCCTTGAGGCTTCCAATCTTCTCCTTCTCCTTAGACAACAGATAAAAAGTCACGTTTTGCCTGTATTCACTCTTCAAGGACTGTGCTATACACAAACAGATAAATACACTGTGCTCTTCAACATTTCCTGGATACACTTAGTAAGGTATCACTAAGTATTACTACTGGAAATACATGGCTGCATATAAATACTCACAACACTGTAACACCATTACAAGCTTTTCTTGAATTAAGTCACTATTTACAAACCCAGAAGTCATTTGTAAGAAAACAAAACACTTTTTGTTTCAGGAACAGGACAAAAGTGGCTGTGGCTTGGCAGCTCTTCTCCCTCCTGCCCAGCTCCCCACCTTTCTTTGGAGAGGATGTAGGGAAGGATCCCATTCAGCCTCTCCTGTCATCTCTTCTTCTGCAGAGGATTGAACAGACCCATACAGAATAGACTCATAAAATCAGAGTCATGGAATGGTTTGGTTTGGAAGAAATCTCAAAGATCATCTAGTTCCAACCCTCCTGCCATGGACAGGGACACCTTTCACTACACCAGATTGCTCAGAGCCTCATCCAAACTGGTCTTGGATATTTTCAGGGATGGGGCTTCCACAACTTCTCTGAGCAACCTGT